CTCCCAGAGTGCTAGGATTACAGGCGTGAGCCACCGCGCCCAGCGAGATAAAGCATTTTTGTTTTGTGGTTTTCTCAGATGTTACACAACAGTGATGTGGAAATGTTCTGTGTGGGTAGTGAACACTTGAAATGTGGCTAGTGTGGCTGTGGAACTGAATTCTTAATTTTGATTAATTTACATTAACATTTAAATAGCCACATGTGACTAGCAGCTATCCTGGTCAGCACAGTTATGTAAGAACCTTTTCATACACTTTTTTTTTTAATTTATTTATTTTTTTTAGAGACAGGGTCTCACTCTGTTGCTCAGGCTAGAGTGAGTGCCCTAGAGTCAGCCTAGCTCACAGCAACCTCAAACTCCTGGGCTCAAGCAATCCTCTTGCCTCAGCCTCCCGAGTAGCTGGGACTACATGCATGCGCCACCATGCCCAGCTAATTTTTTCTATATATATTAGTTGGCCAATTAATTTCTTTCTATTTATAGTAGAGACAGGGTCTCACTCTTGCTCAGGCTAGTTTCGAACTCCTGACCTCGAGCAATCCGCCTGCCTCGGGCTCCCAGAGTGCTAGGATTACAGGCGTGAGCCACCGCGCCCAGCGAGATAAAGCATTTTTGTTTTGTGGTTTTCTCAGATGTTACACAACAGTGATGTGGAAATGTTCTGTGTGGGTAGTGAACACTTGAAATGTGGCTAGTGTGGCTGTGGAACTGAATTCTTAATTTTGATTAATTTACATTAACATTTAAATAGCCACATGTGACTAGCAGCTATCCTGGTCAGCACAGTTATGTAAGAACCTTTTCATACACTTTTTTTTTTAATTTATTTATTTTTTTTAGAGACAGGGTCTCACTCTGTTGCTCAGGCTAGAGTGAGTGCCCTAGAGTCAGCCTAGCTCACAGCAACCTCAAACTCCTGGGCTCAAGCAATCCTCCGCCTCGGCCTCCCAGAGTGCTAGGATTACAGGCGTGAGCCACCGGCGCCCGGCCTTCATACACTTTTAATAGTGACAATATTTTGTGAACATTTTTCAATATCAGTTGCTATAGGCTCCAAATTAGGGCGTACTTAGTGATATCATCACAGTTTATTTATGAAAATAAATGTTTTAGCTGCTTAAATGAAGCCAAAGTACTGTTTCCACGTTTGCTAACACAGTGGTCAACTTTAAAACCCTAACTGAAGTAGGTAAGAAATAAGCATTTTATTTCCATTTCCAACTGAAATTGAGACTTAATGATTTATTCATGATATTCATTGACAAAACAGTGATTTCCCACTAGTGTATTTAACTTTATTTCTTTCAGTTTCATGGTGATGAATCAAGTTAGGGAGCTATATTCAGAGATTTTTTTTTTTATAATTGTTAATTTAATCTTTAAAATATTCTGCTGATTTTTCCTACATCTAAAATTCTCTCTTCCTTTGATCTCTTTTAGGCACTATCCTCCTACCTCTTTTTGCCTCTCTATTTAAAATGATCAAATCATCCCAACTTCCAGTTTTCAGAAACATAGTCTAACTTTATTGTGATAAACACTAAAGATAATAGTCTCATGTTTTCTATTTATTTTCTGTATCAGTAACTTTCAATTAGCTTTGATTTTGTTTTTACAGATCAAAGGTTCTGTAAAACTGAGACATTCAGTTAAATGGATCAAAGTAGTAAGTCAAGAATAAGCATATTATATGGTCTAAAAGGGCATACTTAAGTGGTTTAAATTTTTTTTTAATCCAGAATGAGGTAGTCTATTTAGGTCCTAAATCCATTCACTCACCTTTCTCTCATTTATTCTGTAGATTTCTTTAAGGATTTTAGCCATATCTGTCATTTTTATCACCCAGTGGTATTACTTTTTAAATAAGAGAATCACTGTCATGCAGAAACATCGAACTTTCCACTCCATTGTTTATCACATGTTCTTGTAGGGTGAGCAGTTGGAGCTATATCTAGATTTTCATGACATGATGATATATTTAATTCCATTATTCAATCTAAGAACTTTTTTCAGCATATGACAATATTATATGCTTTAAACACATAGCATAATCTCTAACTCTCATGCCTAAAACACAGTCTGCCAAATTAAGGGTAACAGGCTATCCTCCAGTCTTCCATTCTATTTGCCTCTTGTTAATTTATTTAAAGGAGTATGTAAAACAACATTTTTTCCCTCTAAATTAAAAACCAGAAAACAGGTAAAGGAAATTTTTTTAAAAATTAATACATGATTAAGATAAATTCTATCCATTAACTTGCTTCTTTCTTCTAAAATGGTGAAAAACACCACTGTTATTCAATTTTAATAATAGAATACCTAAATCTAGCGTGAAAAACACTAGTGTTCTGCATGAGCATAATTTGAGAACTGCTAGTTTAAACTATTATATCTAGGTAGATGTCTGCTCACTTCCTAATTGTTGGTATTTGTTTTTGTTTTTTTTTAACAATAAAGCATAGATTGGAAAAACAAGACTAGAAGAGGGGACAATCAAAACAATAAATTCTGTTTGGATTCAGCTTGATTAAATAGTAAATATCATAATCCCCTTTTTCATTCATTAGTTTGTAAATACCTAGTTTGGTTGACAGATCAACGATGCCAGAAATATAATCCTCCTGGAAAAAGTCTGGCCACGTGAACGAAAGACCCAGTTTTCTTAGATTAAAAATTACTGTGTCCAGTTTTCTAGGCCTATATCCAGAAAAATAAATAAAATTGAGATGTAAAAATTTAAAATACCTATTGTCTGCTTCTTTCCCTTTTACTTAAACAAATATGAACATAAAGTATGAAAGAGTAACCCTCCATTTCACTATATGCCACTTTGCCTTTAACCCACTATGCTCCAACCCCATATTTTTCCTTGCAGTTCCTTAAACAAACTGTGCTTTTTCATGCCTCAGAGTTTTCACATATATATTCTACTGATGGAAGGCTCTTCTTACTCTTTGTCTGGCTTACGTACCCATCCCTAAGGTCTTAGGTTAAATGCCATTTCTCTTCAGGGAGATCTTCATTTCTTATTTCCTTCTACTATCCTATACTTTTTCCTTTTAGCACTTAACACAATTTGTAATGCACAAGCACCCACACAAATAAATAGATAATGTCTCTTCTAGACTTTGATCAAAAGCTCCTTGTTGGCCGGGCGTGGTGGCTCACGCCTATAATCCTAGCACTCTGGGAGCCCAAAGTGGGTGGATTGCTCGAGGTCAGGAGTTTGAAACCAGCCTGAGCAAGAGCGAGACCCCGTCTCTACTATAAATAGAAAGAAATTAATTGGACAACTAATTAGAAAAAATTAGCCGGGCATGGTGGCGCATGCCTGTAGTCCCAGCTACTAGGGAGGCTGAGGCAGAAGGATTGCTCAAGCCCAGGAGTTTGAAGTTGCTGTGAGCTAGGCTGACACTAGGGCACTCATTCTAGCCTGGGCAACAAAGTGAGACTGTGTCTCAAAAAAAAAAAAAAAAAGCTCCTTGTTTCTTTTATTCAACACCTAGCCCAGTGTCTGGCACAGTGAGCCTTAACACTCAGTTTTTAAAAATAGTCAAATAAGTAAGTAAATACTTTGTAATTGGACGTAAATGAACAGCTGAGCAGCAACAGTAGGATTCCACAGGACTTCATTGTTTTCTGTGAAGCCATTCTACCTCCCTTCTTCCTACTGGCTCTTACTACCCATTTAAGTCCTGACTGGTCATTGTGGTATTCCCACAGCAGCACTAAGTATTCTTCATTTAGCTGACTCATTATGACTCCAACTTCTATCACTTACCAGGATTCCAACTTCTATAACCTTTTTAGCTACGAGTCCTCCTTCCTACAGCAGCCTTAGATGTCCCTTCCAGAATACCCAGAGTGTCCTTTAAAGTCACAGATCACCATGATCAACAAGATCTCCTTCATCATGATAGTTTGAATATTGTGAAATAGTAGGGGACTGCTGTCATCATCTGGAAGCTCACACAGAAATGATGACTTCATCGTTTTAGTCATGTAGTGTTTGTAGCATACCATCATCTTAGGCATGTCCTGCCTTGCTGTGTCACAGACCATGGTTCTTTTCTTGGCCACAGTAGATTTTAAGTGAAAAAGATATGAAAGGTCCTGGGTTAGGAAGGGCCAAAGAAAGAAAACTAACATTTATTGAACACATATTACGTACCGGATACTGTACAAGTACATACTCACATATTACGTACCAGATACTGTACAAGTACGTACTCTCAGTCAGCCCTCACAACAACCCTGTGAGGTAGGGATTATCCTCATTTTACACATAATGAATCACTTTTCTGAAAATTTGGGTTGTCTCTTGAATTTTTCTTTGACATTAACTTCCATTTATTTATTTTTATCCTCCCTATTGTAGAGATTTTGGCAGCTGTATACAAGAAAACCTACTTCCACTCAATAAATATTAATTTAATGAAGTAAGTTTCATAGAACATGAAAGCATGATTGAAAATTATAAGCTACCATCCTGTAGCAGATTACATTCTTTTCTGGGCTCTGTTAAAAATCACCTGAGCTACTACGCCTTCTTGTTTGGTTTTCACATTTCCTGTTTTTACACACACAGGCATGTGCACGCACGCACACTCAAGCACGCGTGCGCACGCGCGCGCGCACACACACACACACACACACACACACTTTCGTTATTGATCTAACTTTGACTCTCTAGGCTTAGTCTTCTTCGTCTAATAGGAACGGGGAAGCCAGCCTGATGAACAAGACACGTTGAATGTTCTTAATCATGAAATGACTCCAGCAGCTTCTAATTCAAAGTAAGTACCAAGCAGGGTTTACCTGTCTCAGAATGAGATAAAAGGGAACCATCTTTCTCTTACCTATCTCCAAGGGGAAACTCAGAAGTTTTCCTTTATAGTTCTCTAATTCTACACACAGGGACCTGGACTGAAGAGCTTTATGTCCTTCCACTTTCTCTTTGAAGGAGGTCTTGGTCCACACCTATAATCCTGAGCAAGTAGAACCTTGAATGTTCTCTCTTTTCAACTCCTTTATTGGATATCTCTTCTCTCATTTCATCCCAAATCATCTGGACCTGTAATAGTCTAGATAAAAACTAGGTTCAGGGGCAAGGCAGGCTAGGATGTGAGGGACCATGTTGTCTGTGCCATGCCTCAACAAACATTGCAGATTTCTAAAACCTCCCTTGAATGACACTGTCCCCCACTTCTACCCAGGGTCTCTAGGACTGAACACAGTGGAAACAAGACTGACAGTGTTTCTCAGCTCAGGGTATATGGTATGTAGTGTCTCATTCAGCATCGTTTCAGATATCTAGGGAAATGTGTAAAGGAACATCTGGGATCCATGTCCCATTTCTGCCTTTATGTCCCACTAGAAAGTCCACTATCTGTTCTTGGAGGAATTGATTCCAAGAACATAATCACCCCTAAATGTTTCTTGCCTGGGGATCTTCAAAGGATGCTATAGCTGTAGGAGAGGCTCTCTACTCGGATGCCGGCCACAGCAGCATACAGTTCGGGAACCACTAACTCTGGTACTTGCAACACAGCCTTGTCATCTGCAGTTCTAGTGGCAGCTTCTAGGCGCAAGCGTAGCTCTCTAGGTAAGGGGCGGTTGTCCTCACTCCAGCGCCAGCAGGACTTCATAATACTATACCTGAGGGGGAAACAAGAGATGCTGACTTCCTTGGCAAGCAAATGACTGAGAAACATGTCTCCTCTCCCCCCCAAAAAACCTCAACAAAACCCCTGCATCTTTCATAATAAGAATGACTTAAAATTTTTCAAACTACAGAGTATGACAGGACAGGTTTTTCTCACTATGTATGGTTTACTGTGCATCGTAAACACTAAACAGTAAAGGATCGGGGCTAGGACTGAACACGTCTTTTTTACTGTATAATGTGAGATGGAGATTTTAATCATTCTATATTGTGTACACTTTGTGTTGATTTTCATGTTGTTTCAGATGTCTCTTCATCAAAATATTAAGGTCTTTAAGGTTAGGTACTTTGTCAGTTGTCTCCTCCAGTATCAAGGACAGCCTTTAACACCTAGAAATGTTTGTCAACAATTTCATTCCAGTATATTCAGCCACATTTCTAAACTGTGTGTATGTGTGTGTATATACACACATATATACTAAGATATTTAAACTTTATAATCTGCTTGATACAGTAACTGTTTTTTGTAGGGAAAACCAAGTGCTGGAAATGTATCCATTCAATGCTGAAAAACTTACAAAATAGCAACAGCTCTAATAGAAATGTTAATATATTCTTTGCTGCCTTCTTATATATAATTTAACCTTTTATTATGTTCTGTAACAGTTCCTTTTTGAATTTCATTGGTAATACAATTCCATATATAATTTTAATTTTTCCATTTTCTATCTCTAGATTGGTTCACTGTCTCTTTCTGTGGATAAGATTGTATCCTTCTTTTCTTTCCTTTCTAATTTCTTCTTGCCCCCCTTCTTCTGATTGGATTCTGTCATACTGAGAGCTGGGAAAACAGGGAGTCAGTAATTTTTAAAGTTATATGAACTGGTGTACTCTGAATGAGTAACTCTAATGCAGTGAATTTTATGACAGTTATCTTTGAACTGAGGCTGGCAGAAGGCTGACATTTGGAAAAAACACTACTATACTTCCATTGAGTTTGGATCACTTCCTATTTTAGAAGCTTCCTGTGGAACTACCCTATATCAAAATTATATTCCTAATATAGTTCTCGGTAGTTGCCTCAACATTGTGTGTATGTGGGGGGTAGGGGTGTGTGTGTGTGTGTGTGTGTGTATGATATATGGGATGTGTTTTACTGCATGGGTTTGGTCTAAAGCTATACATTAGCATATAAGGACGACTGTGGATCATCTGAGCCACTTTAAAAGGGGCATGATTGATAGGGAGCAAAAAAGATTTGGAATGAAAGAAGAATAGGCCTTTAAAAGCCACTTACATGGTGTGTGTACAGCTACTAGGTCTCTTCATAATTTTCCTTCTCTGGAGATACTGTAGGATGCTGGTAGGAGGGACTTCAGGATATGGTGGTGCCCCTGTTATTATGGAAAGAATGACAGTAGCACAAGAACTTTAGGGTCTTTTTAAATATGAACTGTAACTAACACTGCTTTCCATCTATTTGGGCAAATTGCCTGCAAAAGGTGTAGCCACAAGAAAAATACTAGATATAATACAGTTGCTCCCTGATGATCAAGTAAGTATATAGCTTAGTAAATTTGGGGGAAAGGTGTTTGGGAGAAAAAAATGATAAGTTAGGAGAATTTTGAGTCTTTAAGGAAAGCAGTAAAATAAGACTAAGAAGACCTGTCCTCCACTCCCAATAACATGGGAAGGTGCTGCCGTTTCTCAATCAAATGGATAAATAAGTCTGAGGAAAACATTTTTATGTTTACACAGAATCACTCTGGAAATTATCCTTGGGATTGAAAACCCCCTTGCAAATGGTAATGTTTGGGGAACTGAAAGAAAGAGGAAGAGAGCAAAAAATGAGAAGGTATCTAGGGAAATACCACTTTATGAGACTATCTCGGGAATCAGGCTTGGATGTCATGTTAGGTCAGTTCAAACCTTTCTCAAAGCATATGTTATCCACCACTTAAATAAACATACTTACATATTTGCATACAGGTACACACTACTTTGGGGATCATCCTTACCTAGAGTCACCATCTCATAAAGCAGAATCCCAAAGGACCAGCTGTAAAAGAAACAGAGCCATCTGCTTAATTTCTATTCCTGCCTGTTCTAAAGAGAGCTCATTTAAATATCAGAAGGCTTTAGTAAGAACTCCATAAATAAGGCAATGAGGGAGAATCAAGGGTGAGTGTCTGATAAAATAAACAAAGTAATCATGCCATTAGAAAGCATTTCTGGGCCGGGCACGGTGGCTCATGCCTGTAATCCTAGCACTCTGGGAGGCTGAGGTGGGAGGATCGCTCAAGGTCAGGAGTTCGAAACCAGCCTGAGTAAGAGCAAGACCTTGTCTCTACTAAAAATAGAAAGAAATTAATTGGCCAACTAAAAATATATAGAAAAAATTAGCCGGGCATGGTGGCACATGCCTGTAGTCCCAGCTACTCAGGAGGCTGAGGCAGAAGGATCGCTTGAGCCCAGAAGTTTGAGGTTGGTGTGAGCTAGGCTGATGCCACGGCACTCACTCTAGCCTGGGCAACAGAGTGAGACTCTGTCTCAATAAAAAAAAAAAAAAAGAAAGCATTTCTGTTCAATTTCTTAGATTCTAATCTCTTTGAGGACTGGATTTATGTCTCTTTCTTCTGTATCTCAAATTAATAAATGCTTTTTTTTTTTTGATATTATGTGAATAGTATAACAATGTAAATGTGTATGTGTGCATTGCACACATGTACCACACACACACCATTTACCTAATTATAAAGAATTTTCTCTGCATGTTTTCATCCCTTTCCCTCTCTGCTGAAATTGCAGCTTTGCTTTTGCTTTTTTTTTTTGAGACAGAGTCTCACTCTGTTGCCCTGGCTAGAGTACCGTGGCGACAACCTAGCTCACAGGAACCTCAAACTCCTGGGCTCAAGCAATCCTCCTGTCTAGCCTCCCGAGTAGCTGGGACTACAGGATGTTGCTACCATACCCGGCTAATTTTTTCTGTATATTTAGTTGTCCAATTAATTTCTTTCTATTTTAGTAGAGACAGGGTCTCACTCTTGCTCAGGCTAGTTTCGACTCCTGACCTTAAGTGATCCACCCACCTCAGCCTCCCAGAGTTGCTGGACTACAGGCATGAGCCACTGCACCAGCGTAGAAATCCCAGCTTTTATTCATAGCACAAGACTAAGTGAATTTTGTTATTATTCCATTCTTTTCTCAGTAGATCTAATTGCTCAAACCTTGGAAAAATACTACAGAGCAAGCTTTATACATAGTTGAAATAGGCATGCTAAATAGTATGCCTGAGATGTATTAATTTTACTATTCTATAATATCATTATTAAACGAGTGATATTTTACAGTGTTATTACTCACAGATCTCTATTGAAAAATTGATGTCATTGGAGCAGCATTGAAAATCTCTTAACTGATTCATCATTAAACCATCTTCCAAATTCCCTCTGCTGCTCGCTGACCAGTAGGACTTATAGCTAGTAGGATATCTACATTACATCCATGGCTTCTCCAAGCAGTTGAGTCATATGGCTATCAAAGTCAATTGTGATTCTTTTTTTTTTTTTTTTTTCACAGAGTCTCACTCTGTTGCCTGGGCTAGAGTGCCATGGCGTCAGCCTAGCTCACAGCAACCTCAAACTCCTGGGGATCGCTCAAGCGATCCTCCTGCCTCAGCCTCCTGAGTAGCTAGGACTACACGCATGCGCCACCATGCCCGGCTAATTTTTTCTATATGTTTTTAGTTGGCCAATTAATTTCTATTTTTAGTAGAAATGGGGGTCTCACTCTTGATCCTCCCACCTCGGCCTCCCAGAATGCTAGGATCACAGGCATGAGCCACCGTGCTCTGCCAACTGTGATTATGCCAATTTACATGTAACTGTCATTATTGTAATCAATTAAATATTTAATAAACTAATTAAACATAAATGTAAAGAAGTGTTAGGCGGCGGTGGTGCTCACGCGCTGTAATCCTAGCACTTTGGGAGGCGAGACGGCGGATTGCTCAAGGTCAGGAGTTCGAAACCAGCCTGAGCAAGACCCCGTCTCTACCAAAAATAGAAAGAAATTAATTGGTCAACTAAAAATATATATATACAAAAAATTAGCCGGGCATGGTGGCGCATGCCTGTAGTCCCAGCTACTTGGGAGGCTGAGGCAGAAGGATTGCTGAGCCCAGGAGTGTGAGGTTGCTGTGAGCTAGGCTGACGCCACGGCACTCACTATAGCCTGGGCAACAAAGTGAGACTCTGTCTCAAAAAAAAAAAAAAAAAAAAAAAAAAAGAAGTGTTATCTCCCTGCAAACTAAGTTGAATACTTTGAAAATAGTCCATAAAAATACACTGCTAAAAAGAAAATGTTGTCACATTTGGGTGGGTGAGACAACTGTAGGAAATTGGGAAAAATAAAAATCTAAAGTCAAATTATTTCACAATTGTTTTCAAGCTTTTCACTCCATTTAGAATCATCCCAAACTGGAACTCAAAAATAAGTCATTACAAATGCTATTTATACAGGAAACACAACATATAACTCCATTTAAGAGGTCCACCTTCATAAAAAGAAGCCTTGACCCTCCTTCAAAAGATAGATAGATAAATGTACATTTATATGTTTACGTTAAATTATTGGTGGTATTTTTTTTATTTTAATAATGCTTGTTTAACTGGGCTTTCGATTAAGTAGACCCACTGTCTGCTGATAAAAGAGACTCTACTAGATTAAGTCCTCATATGAATGCGAGTAATCTTTTCATTTTTCTTTTTTCTTTCCTAATTAATGCTGCTAATTTAATACAGAAAGAATACTTGAAAAGGCACTAAAAAGGATTACAGAGAGATGCCAGACGTGAACTCTGTTACATAATATTTCTGCTTGAGAGTATATCTGACTTTCCTTCTTTTTAGAAACACAATCTCACTTTGTCACCCAGGCTGGAGTACAGTGGCATGATCATAGGTCACTTCACCCTCGAACTCCTGGCCTCAAATGATCCTTCCACCTTAGCCTCCTACAGTGCTGGGATTACAGATGTGAGCCACCTTGTCTGGCCTACAGTATGTCTGATTTCTAAGTAGAGATTTCGTTTGCAAACATAATTGGCAACAGATCAAATCATGTTCAGGGAGGACACCCAGGTCATGCAGGGAAGAAATCCAAAAGCCAGGAGGAACAAACCGTACACATCTCCTCTGATGCCAGCAGGTCTCAGGAGAAGCCGTTCGGGGGCAAGCCACTTGAGAGGTATGGTTCGTGTAGAGGAGATGGCCCCTTGGGCATGGACTTCATAAGCCAGGCCCAGTCCACAGAGTTTAGCAGTAAGATCACTTTGGATTAGGATGTTCCTGGCTGCCACATCTCCATGAAATAGATGTTTATCTTGTAGAAATTCCTGTCAAAATAGTATCAAAGATGATCAGCTGTCTGAGGTCACCACTCGGGTCACAGACATGGAGGGGCAGTCCTAGGAATCCTCAAAAAGACAAGGACATTTTCTACTCTGAACAAGTCTCATTAATCATGACATACTGCCTCCAAAGTATGCTGATGAATCAGACATTTTTTTGCATTGTGTCTAGGATTAGCAAACTAAGCAAGTAATCCAAATGATATTAACACTGGATTTTGAAAGTGTAATCACCCACTCTGCGTCAAACCCTGACGTCTGCTTGATTTCACTTTCCTCTCAGGAAAAGAGAGAGCTAGACACTGGAAAAGGGAGTAGGTTCCAAATTTCTAGCAGTAATCCCCCAAATAAGGTAATAAACACATAGCAAAATTGAATGCCAGAGAAGTTTTACATCACCTCATTTTGTCCCTAGAAGAACTGGATGAGGTGAGTTATGGAAGTATCTTTTAGATAAGTCTAAATGATTACACAAGGTCATATAGTTATTAAAGGGCAGTGACCAGAACCAGGTATTCTAATGCATAGGATGTATCATACAAACTCTAGTAATAATTCTAAGCCAGGCTGAAAATCAGAATTGCCTGAGAGCTTTTTAACATTTTCACCCTAGACTTACTAAACCAAAACCTAGGAAGAGAGACCTGGTAACATACATTTCTTAAGAAATATCAAAGTGATTCTAGTATAGCCAATAAAGCATTGGAGAGCCACTGCCCCTGATGACATTGATTTGCTGGAGTCTTTTCCTTCGGCATCATGCTATTCAAGACTTACGGAGAAGTTGAGAAGCTATACATGATCGAAGAATTAGAGATTTAGGTCTATGGTTACTAAACAAGGGTGCTATAAAAAAAAAATTAAAGTGATAATTTCCAATCATTGATGATGAAAGAAACAGTGACTAGCAGTTTTCTGTCCATGGTAAGGTTTTAGAACAAAGAAATTATAATGAGAAGGATTAAAGAATGCATTACTAATTTTGAGGTTGTTAAAAATAAGAGTATGATATAGACTTGTAACAGGTAATGTAGGGCCCTGATGAATGCATCAATTTGATCAATTCATCACTGTTGGGCACCTGTGCAGTTACGGTTCAGAATACAAGATAGGCCGCATCCTGACACTATAACTTTTTCAAGGGAACATACTCATTTATGTGGTATGTTTGTTCCCTTTCCCCTGGAGCTTCAGCCCTAACTACTGCTCTTTTCCTACCTTAATACCTCCTGTTTTTCTTTTTCCTGTTTCTATTTAGATCTCTGGTATATTTCACACCTCACAGTGGCAAGCTATGTCAAATATTATACTTGAAATAGTAGCTTCCCAAAGCCTTCATTTTTCTATAGCAAATGCTAATTTTAAACAGTTATCTAAATAATTTCATAGAAATAGTCACCTAAATTCCTGAGTAATTGTAGTAGAGGTGATTTTTTTTTCTCTTAAACCCTGAGTTCTTTCTCTTACCTCTTTATTTAAGTTGGTTTTAAATAAAGAAATGATCCCCTTGTTACTGTTTCTCATTCCTCCTTTTCTACTTATTCCTTGATTGTTGATAAGTATATGTACTGCCTATCACATTCAGTATCAAAGCAAGACTCTAACCAAACATGTTCTGAACTAGTTCTTCTCGTTTTTCAGGTATAAAATTGTATGCTTCTGGTTTTGTAACCTTTCACCCATTCAGTTTCTCTTTCCATATCTTCTCCCTACTTGCTTCCCTATTTCCCCTTTTACATCTGTTACTGTTAGTATATATGGGGAAATAAGAGTATCAAGACATGGGCATATAGCTCTTGACCCTAGCTTTTGACCTTTAAGAAACCTTTAAAATCCTTCCTGTTCCTTCTATAAACCCTAAGTTGATTATTTTCTTCCTGGAAGTACCAATCCTGTAGTATAAATGATTTCATAAAGGAGGAACTAAGAACAAGTGCTTGAGTTTCTGCCCCCTAACTTCTATTTATCTTTAAAATATACACCCCATTTGAGTATATGAATATGGGAAATATGGCACCAAATATGAGGCTAAAAGAAACATCCCCACCATCTGTTGTCATTTTGCCCAGTCTTACCAGAGCCGAGAGGACCTGCTTTCCGATGTGATACACTTGTTTTTCTGTGAGATCATAGAGGAGACCATCCATGGTCATCACATCCTAAAGAGACCGGGATAAAAAGCATTATATCAAAATGGCATTAACAGATTTGGGGGAAAAAATGAGTTGGGCAGAGGGACTCTGAAATGCAGATATCAAAGCTAAGAAAAATTACAAAAACATAGGGACTAAGATTCAAAAAGAGACTGGCTGGTATGGGAGATTTTCAGATATGCAGAGACATACAGTGATTCATTGGACTGGAAAAACAAGAGTGTAGATTCATAAAAGGCAAGAAAGACAGGAATATATAAAACTGTCCACTGAATAAAGCAGCAGTTTTTCTAGAGCTGTATGTGGTGTGTGTGTGTGTGTGTGTGTGTGTGCAGTTAGCACATTAATGCATCATTATTGAATGCCCACAATGTGCCTGATTCCATGTTAGGAACTTGGAATACACGAGTGAACAAAATAACATGGCTGATGCCTTCTGGACATTATTGTATGGCAGACACATGTGCACACAGAATCAAATAATCGTACGTAAATAAATGGTTACACATCTATAAGAACCATGAAGGAAATGTACAAAATGCTAAGAGAGGATATGATGGTGGGAAGAAGAGAACTGATTCAGTTAGAAGGACAAGGAAAGCTTTTGATGAAAATCAAAAAGCTTCTCCCTTCTTTGCATAGTAAATGTTCACTGAAGGATGGATGAGTGGACATTAACTATGCAAAGAAGAGAAGAGAGAAGTTTGGCATAACTAGAAAAACACATGAAGATAATCTAAAATAGAGATGTGGTATTTTTGAAAAATGGAAGGTAGTATGGTTAGAACACAGAATAAGTTATACATGGATAACCTCTTTAAAAGGTTTAAAATACCTAAAGACTTGCACATCATCCTATTTACAACATGGATGGAAGACATTAACAGGGTCCCTTTTTTATACCCATTTGTATGTATGTACTATAATCTGCATATTGAGAAGGCTCAATTAATACTGAACTTGCTCATTAGCAAGTGAGAAACTAGGGAAATAGGTAGCACTTCAGAAAGAGGAAAAGTGTAAGGAAAAGGACTTCCATTGAAATCTAGAAATTTCTGAACATTTTAATTTTTTAAAATATGAGTTTGAGGTACAAAAACTTAAGAGGCTGAATTTCTCACTGAGACAGCCCTGGCATACTATTGTGATATTACAGAATGGAAAACACAATAGCAACAAAATTACAATCATTATTAACAGTGGTTCTATTGTTGTGTAATTGTCCTTATAACAGCTACCATTTTCAGTGCTTACTCTGTACCAGCCACTCCTATGTTTTTACATGCATAAATTCTTTTAGTTTTTTTTGCAATCGTTTAATATTACTCCCATTTTACAGATTCAGAAAACTCAGGATCAGAAAGGTGACTTGCCCAAAGTCACAAAGGGAGTAGGAGGTGGAGCCTAAAGTCCAAGCTTAAACTTGTGCTTCCCAATATGGTAGCCGTTAGCCACGTGTGGCTACTTAAACTTCCATTATCTAAAATTAAATAAAATTTTAAAATTTAGTTTCTCAGTCACACCAGCCACATTTCAAATGTTCAAAAGCCACCTGTGATTGATTAGTGGCTATCATATTGCACAGAGCTGATACAGAACATTTCTGTGGTCACAAAAAGTTCTATGGGACAGTGATAGCTAATTACCGTTTTGTTATTGTAATGTCTCTCTTGTCATTTGTCATGCCAATTTACATGTGAACAGCTAAGCAAACAGGCCAAGCCTTTCCTTCCTAACACCTCTACCCCACTGCTCACCCGGCGACAGGTCCAGAGAAAGCTGAGCAGGTCCCCCTGGGCCACATCTTCCAACACCATGTAGAGTGGCAGACTTTCTGTGCAGCAGCCTTCCAGCTGCACGAGGTTCTTGTGTTTCCCCAGGTACTGATAAAATTGGATTCGCCCTAAGAAATCCTGTACCTCATGGAGCTCAGCGGGTTCTGTGGAGGACAGAAGAGCCAGGCAGTGAGCAGAGCATCACCAATGAGCAGGAGACATGGAGCAGGAAGAAACTTCAGATGGTAATTCTCAAGGCCCCCTCAGGGGAGTGAGGGTCAACAAAAAGTAAATAGAAAGGGGACAGATTAGAAGACGAAGATGCTCAGTGTCACTGATCTTTTATCAAAGGTCACATAGAATCAATCATACATTTTAGAACTGGATAGGCTTTCATCTGCCTAAATAGACAAATATTCTGTTCACATTAAAAGACTATCACTGTGTAGGCCCTTTGATTAATATTTTTTGCTTATCCTTGTTCTATTTTGTATATCCACCATTACTGGCCTATATCATGAGTATCAGCAAAAAGAGAAATACAGTATCAGGAAAGGATATCAAATAGTGAAGAAAAAAAACGCTGGTCACAGTGGCTCACCCCTGGAATTCTAGTACTCTGGGAGGCCAAGGTGAGACGATAGCTTGAGGTCAGGAGTTTGAGACCAGCCTGAGCAAGAGTGAGACCCAGTCTCTACAAAAAATAAAAATAAAAAAATCAGCAGGTGGTGTGCACCTGTAGTCTCAGCTGGACTTAGGAAGCTGAGGCAGAAGAATCGCTTGAGCCCAGGAATTTGAGGTTGCAGTGAGCTATGATGACACCCCTGCATTCTAGCTGGGGGGAAAAAGTGAGATTGTCTCAAAAATAAAACATGAAGAAAAATGAAGAAATGATTTCAGAATCCTAGTCCAAGTAACATCCAATGTGAAAAAATAAGTTCTAACAGCCTTGAGAGACAAGGTTAGGCGAGGGAAAGAAAGACCCCAACCATTTGTGTGTCAGTTTCTACCCTCTCTTCCCTTCTTCTGTACACAATTGTGGTCACAACTATCTGTTGATTGACATCTCGATGTTTGCAAACCCTGTTAACATTTACTGTTAGGAATTCACAATGGAAAAGTAAAATGAGGAAGGGAAATCTAACACTTCTCCTTTTACCTTTTAAAGCCTTGAGGACAACAGTCTTTGGCTTAGCAGAGTCCCCAGTGTTCATTTTGGCCCGATAGATGGCCCCACAGCTACCATTGTAGATCTGCTCCAGAACTTCAGAGAGTTGTTCCCGGGGCACCTGCAGCTTAGCCAGGGCAGGTGCGGTAGTTTGTAGAAAGCTTTCCACTGATGTCTCCTTAAGTGGCACAACCACATTTCCTCCATGCCCTGCTGCTTCCCAGCTTAGGTCCCTAGATGGAGGTATAGGGGCAGTGCCTAGAACAAAGACATGATTTCAACCAGCTTTTCTCTGCCCTGCGGACTCCAGGAGAACAAGTTGGCACGGCAGTTCCCCCAGCAGTTTTCTCTCTGGCCAATGTGGGGTTGTTTTCTGATGCTTCTCCATAAACATCAACACCAAGCTTATACAACATTCATAATAATCCCCCATTACTTCCAGGACAACTCAGGATGGACCGCTGGAAAGTGGTCATGATAATTGCTTTTCTGTCTTCCTCAGGATTACAATTTAGTATTTCTCATGAGTACAGTACGGAGGCGATTAAAGAAGTTCCTAGGCCGGGCTCACGCCTGTATTCCTAGCACTCTGGGAGGCCGAGGTGGGAGGATTGCTTGAGCTCAGGAATTTGAGACTAGTCTGAGCATGAGTCAGTCCCTGTCTCTACTAAAAACAGAAAAAATTAGCTGGGCATAGTGGCATGTGCCTGTAGCCCCAGCTACTCGGGAGGCTGAGGCAGAAATATCGCTTGAGCCCAGGAGTTTGAGGTTGCTGTGAGCTAGGCTGACGCCACAGCACTCTGGCCCGGACAACAGAGTGAGACTCTGTCTCAAAAAAAAAAAAAAATTAAGGAAATTCCTGAGTAGGTACCCAAACCATAGATACCTAAAGGTGGTGGTAACAGCCAGGTACTATCATTTAAGTCAGTCAAATGGCTTTCAGTGTTGGAGGAAAGATATGGCTAACTCATCAACTTTAAGCTATAGTTATTCTTCCTTCCTTAAGTTGTCTCAAAAGTCAAATTATTCCATATTTCCTTGAGTCTTAGTCAAAAAAGTCTTCTGGTACTTTCTCCCTTGTTTAGCTAGCATGAACTTTCCTGCAGTTAAAAAAGAGAGGCTCATTCTTCTTGTTAAAACTCCATTCATTCATTCATTCATTCATTAATCTATCCATTTATTCAACAAACATCACCTACTTCATGCAAGATATTGTTCTAGGTTTTGGGAACAGGCAAAGTTCAGATTCAACTGAAGATTACTTTCTAGTGGTAGGGGAGAGGAAGAAGATAATAATATTTCAAGCACTGATTGTTGTGGCTGAAAATAACAAAAGGAAAAGAGGCATCAATGATGCTATTTATATATGAAAGTCAAGAAAGGCCTTTCTGATGAGATGACATCTGAGAAAGACCTGGAAGCAATTAGAGAGCAAACCATGCTGGTGTCAGGAAGAGTATTGCAGCCAAAGGGAGCAAGCAGTGCAAAGGCACTGAGCGAGGAACATACTTGGTATATTGAGGATGATCAGGAAAGCCAGTATAGCTGGAGCCAAGAGGGACCACTGGAGCGTTGTAGGCTAAGGCCAGGGAGACCCAGACCATGTAAGCCCACTGAAAGAACATTTTCTATTTTTATGCTAAGCAAGATGGGAAGCTCTTGGAGGTTTCAAACAGAGAACTGACAGGACTGACTCTGCCTTAAAAGAATCATTCTGGCTTCTTTGGGGAGAACAGACCATGAAGGGGTGGAGGAAAAGCAGGGAAAGCAGTTAGGAGTGTGCTGCAATGATCTATGCAAGGTGAGAGTGGCTTGGGTTTATTGTGAAGATAGAGTTAACAGGATTGGCTTGCAGATTAGATAAAGACTGAGACAAAGAGGTAGTGACGGATATCTTTAAGATTTTAGCCTGCAAATACAAAGGCTGGACTTGCCATTTACTAAAACAGGGAAAACTACTGCAGGAGGACATTTGTGAGAGAATCTTAGGCCCTCTGTTTTGGACATGTTACATATGAGATGTGTATTATATCCAAACTGCAAAGTAGGTGGTTTAATATAAGAATCTGGAGTTGAAGGGACCATTATCAGAATAGAAAAGGTATTTGAGTCCATAAGACTGAAAATTCTACCATTTAGGAAGTGACTTTAGATTTTTTAAAAATAAAAAAGAGGAAGTGGAAAATTGTTTCAAGTGCTTTTGACAGGTCAAGTAAGACAAGGACTAAGAATCGATCATTGGACTTGTCAACATAGCTATCATTGATGAGCTTGGAAAGACCTGTTTTGTTGGAATAGTAGGGATGAAAGCCTTATTTTAGTATGTTCAAAAGAGAATGTAGAGGTAGTGGAAATGAATGTGGACAACTTCTTTGAGAAGTTTTCTATAAAACTGAAGTATAAAAGAATCAGGATAAAATTTTTAAAAGGGACTAAGGATCAGCCACTATAGAGTTTTTTTTATCACTGTTAATTTTTTTTGTTTTGTTTTTCCTTCTTTCACTCTTAGTTTCCTGTATGAGCTGATTCTCTTTTATCATATGCTCAGTGGAACTCCACAATAGCCTGTTATTTCCTACTGAATGTTTCAATGACTAATATGAAGGCCACCCTTTTTTATCATATATTCTGTAGGCAAAGATTAGGGGGAGAATGTATCATAGGGTACAATGTCATTCTTCAAGCATGTTACCAAAGCTGGCTTTATACCCTCTAGCTTTCTCCTAGGTCCTTACACACTCACATATTCAAAGGTTTGATAGTCCATTAGGGCAAAGAGGACAGAAACAGGTCACATGAGGTGTCTCTTGCCCACCCTTCCGTCAGTCACTCAAGCGAGTTCCAACTCACGACTTCTTAGAGATCACCTCCTCTCCACACCACAGGAGGGAACCCCTGCGTCTCTCATCGCAGGTGCCTAGACTCCTAGACTTGGACCTATTGGAACTTGGACCATATTTTTCCTAATCTCCATCTTCCCTGAGCCCCTTCCCAGCCCCACAGTTTGAGCTTTACCTCGGAGTCCAGGTTGCTGCTGTTGGGCTCTTTGTTCTCTGATAAAAAGCCACAGGATGACACCAAGTAGGATAAGGAAGGTGCCAACCAGGAGAGCTGGAACAATAATCACTTCGTACTGCTTCTCCTGGACAACTGGGTAGAATCAAGCAGGAAAAGAAGACAATGACAAAGAAGCCTGACCTGATGTCCACAGTTTCCCCTACCCACAGGGCCTCAGCTCATCATACATGAAAAGGCCATCTCTTCACCAATTGGCATTTATTCCACCCCCCCAAAAGAGTCAATGGCCTTTAGCCCCCATTCTTATATTACCACTATCTTCATTTCTACTAGAAATCAAATAATCCTCCTTCAAGAATCTGTCCAGACCTTAGTCTCCATAATCCTAAAATCAGAGCATAGACATCCGTGGTGTCTGTACTCACCACACAGCTTGTCAGTGAGACTGCATTCCAGCAGCACCCGTGTCATGCCTTTCTCACCGCCCATCGCTGCAGGGCTGTCCACTCTCTGCTAGGCCCGCAGAGAATGTGCAGAGCACGGCTGTGAATAATTCCCAAGGACTGAGTGGTTCTGGAAAAAAAATGGAGCATGCACAATTTTAAACTGCCTCTATAAATAACTAGTTAAGTAAGTGGCTACCTCTCTGAATCATCCATTTATCTCCATCTGTCTGATATTCAGGCTGGAAGAACCCACACACACATACTCCCCGCCCCTCAGCATTTTTCTTCACCCTATTCTATAGCAAATGCAGCCCTAATCTGGTCTTGTCCTTCCATCCCATTGTTACTGAAATTATTTTAAAGGCTTTCCTCCCACTTAGCTCTTCTCCCGTGCTCAAGTACGGATTCACAGAATCTGTGTGAACAATTGTGATCTGTGGGGTATGTGAGCAACATCTACCTCCGTTACAGTCCTTAAGTGTGTCCAATTTTTTTTAGCTGTGCATCATACTTTTTAACAAAACATTTATTTGTATATGAAGTTAATTCAGAGAATGAATAAATATTTGGCATATGCCAAGAGATAGGAGTTGTGCGTTTGTTTTCTTTCTCTGAACTATTGCACCCTCACAAGCAATGAACAGACAGCATTTATCAATAAATATTATTGAGTTCCTAAGCCCTCAGAGCTTCGAGGAGCTTCCCCTGCTCATAGCAGATATAGACACACGCATTCTTCCCAGGATATAAATGAAGTGTCAGTACCAAGCCACTTTCTCTCTTTTAAATAAAAAGGGAATATATTAATATGGTCCAAAAATGAAAATATAAAATGGTATAGCACAAAAATATTTTCTCCCACTCTGTCCTTCTCCATTTATCCAGTTCCCAGTTCTCCTCCAAGAAGACTATAGTTACTAGTTTCTTGTTTACTTGGCAAGAGATTCTTTATGTGACTTTGAAGTCTACATAATCAGCATGTATTTCAAATGGCACCTCCAGAAATTTGGTTCTTTCTTTCTGAAGAGAATTTGTGATTAATGCTCTCTCATGTAGCTACAAACTTTATATTTTGCCTTTACTTGACAAGATTTTCCTGTGACTCTATGATCAGGAAAGCCTGCTTCTTTAATTCCGATTAATATAAGAGAAAATATGGTGATTTTCTGCTAAGTAATCCTAAATATGTGATCTAGTCTTGTAGTAACTTGATACAAACATGAAACAAAAATCAGAAGTGTAACTTGTATGCCATGCCATATGTGACATGTGTTACTTAAGCCATATTATGCAGTCTTCTGTTATTACATATTACTGATACTAATAACCACAGTGTTACTTATTGAGGCAGAGTCTCTCAGTGCCTGAAGGTCCTATGTAAAGAAGCCTCCCAGCTCCTGCCTCGCCCCCTTTTTCACTCTTCTTGGAATTCCATGAGCTGCTATCTGGGTTTGATAGTTAAACAATTCACTTTCAACTCAGAAGAGAGACAGGTGTGTGCTTGTTTGACAGAAGCCCAGGCAAACAGAGAATTAGTAGCAAGAAGGTGGAAAATTGCAGAAGGAGAGGGATTCTTATCTGTAGGTTTGTACACAGCAGGAGATCTAAGAAGTCAATGGATAATTAACAAAGTCCACCACATCTAATTTGTTTACCAAAAAGGCAAGGAGAAAGTTTCCACAATTCACAAGACCACGTGGAAGGAAAGGTACCAGCAATGGTGCAAGAAACAGAGCCTTGAGAGTGGAGCAAAGGGGAAGGTCTTAAAACAGTTTGGCTAGGGGAATTCAGAGGCTGTTCGAAATTTTCTTACTGCTATTCTCATTCCCGTTTTCCTTTCCTCTTGCTTCTTTTCCAGTGCGTTATCAGATGTAATTATTTTTATTCAGGGAGCAGCCAGTTTAACAAGTTTGGCTTTCTGGGGAGTAGGTTCTATGAGCATATGCTCTCTTACCATTGTACTAGTGGAAAAAAAAGGATCAGCCAGCAGCCAGCTCACACTGTGACCTCTGCCCAGAAAACAAACTGCACACCCAGTGGTATGTACTGAATGAAGTTGTTTAAAGCCAGGTGTGCACATGTGCCCCACACAGAACTGCTCATGGTGGGCCACACTCAACTACAGCACCTGGCCAAACACACTTATCTGCAACGAGTGAAATCACGCTCAGACCCTTGCACCAGGCTATCACACCTATTACAGAGCACCCCGATTTGGATAAAATATGACCTTCTATTGCATTTCCTGACCCAGGTTCTCACCATCACTTTGTGCATGGGTAGTTTAAAGAGGCTAGGCTTATTAACACCTAGCAGCCCAATGAAATTGGGTGCTAGAGCAAGGACAAATGTACAGGGTAATGAGGCCCACTCAATGAAAGTGCTTTCCAGATGTTTGTACAATATGCTCTTCTCTTTCCAATGATTACAGTTGAGGTAAAGGCATATGGAATGTGCCAAATGAGTCCAGTATTTTTAAGGTATACACACCAGGCATACTCACATATCCATGAAAACCTATACAGGAAATCTGACCATTTAGAGCCCACCGAAGCTTGTACATTAGAAGATGCTCATATTCGCTTGTAACAACAATATTCTCTCTAGATCACTTTTTTCCCTAACAATTCCTATTCAGTAACCAAATGGCTTTGCCTGGCTGGTCTGTGTCAAGCTGAGAAAAGGCATGCTTGGTGCCGAAGCTTGTAGGATGACTCTTCCCATGGGTTAGTTTGTAGCTCATCTGACCATTAGAAGAATGCTCCTAACCAACATTTCTAAACAATATGATCCATATTCTGCCCCCTTTAATTATGTTTTTAGCTCATTTAGCAGTGAAGTAGTATGTCTTCTTTAATTTTATCTAAACAGTTTTCCCATTGTGTTAAAAAAAATTACATGTACTGTTTCAGCTCGACTGTAAAATCCTTAAGAATATAAAGCATTATCTTACAGTTCTGTCTTTACTGCTGTGTATAATGGAATTCAGGGCATTAGAATCAAGGGTCAAAAGAAATTATGAAATATTCTACGCTGCTAACTACATTTGACAGTTGCAAAATGTTTGTGTATAGTTTGCTTATAGTTTACACATGACTTCATCAACAGTTCCAAATCTCTTCAGGCAGGTTCCTAATTAAAACAATATTAATTGCCTCAGTTGTGGTTATCACTCTTTAATTTTTTTCTCCTCAGTTGCTTTTGACTGTCTTTTAGCATATTAAAATGTTCAGCTCTCATCCTGAATTGAGAATCTGGAGGGAGAAATAGCACAATGAAGAAAGATATATAAACAGGGAGAGAATGAGAGTGAAATGGAGAGTGAAGTCCACCTAAATTTTTGCAAAACTGGAGTCTGGAGACCGTAGACGTTGATGAATATAACTAAAAGTAATGTGAATATTAACTCTCCAAACTTTTACATATACTCACAATACATATATAATGCCACGCTGCATTTCTACATGTTTTATGTCCAAAAATATAGTTTTACAACAATAACACAACTCTTAATTAGTGACATTTCTTTTCAATTAGCACTATATAGTCTCCTAGACATAATCAGCAATTTTCCCATGACTTTACAGAAGAAACTCTTCTTACCAAAATACACCTACATACAGAACTTTTCAAATCATATTCATTCTCCTGTACTCTCCCTGCTTATGTGTTGAGAAAAATGTCCTGATTGGCCTTGGTAATAACATCTGGGCCTGTTCCAGTAAGATGTGATTAAATCTGTCATGTCAGCCTCACCTTCAATGTTACCACTTGCTTATCAACCCATGTGGATCTGCCAGCCATGTTATTTTTAGATAGACAATGATCCACCTTTCAGGTGGATGCCACACTAGGTTAAGGATAGCAGACTTAAAGTGAGGAGAGTAAAATACAAGGCGCTAGCAGCCCCCAGACTGAAGCAGTCTGCCTTCCTGCAGAGTCATCTTTCTCCCCCTTTCATCCTTACCCTTGGGCTACCTGGCAGGGGGGAAAAAAAGTGTTTAATGAAGGGAACATATTAAGTTGGAAGCAAGGTAGAAAAGAATGTTCAGATCTAGAGGATTCCAGAATTACTTATCTCTAACATCCTGAAAAACAGGCTGTCCTTCCTGTTTTCAGATCATATAAAACATTTAGCAACTACAGTGTACCAGGTATTGTGCTAGGCACTTGCATACAAAGGAGGAAAGGCAGAAGCTGAGGGATTAAGTTACAAATTAGCCAGGGTAAAAAAAAAGGGGAGGGGCAAGTAATTGGCAGGGCAAGTAATTGGCAGAGCAAGTTTCAAACCCAGGTCTTTTACTTACAGACCCAATGTTCTTTAAGCTACTTTCTCATACATGTGTCCTTGTCACTCGAATGAGCAAGACCACCAGGGTCAAGAAGGAATTATGTCAGAATCCAAGAGAATCATGGAAACCACAAGGCTGAAACCAGATTTTACCAACAAACATACCATAATTTGGAAAGAACAGAATCTGCCTGTGTGTCCTTGAAACCCTTATTGGGGCATAGATGATGTCTGTATGTCTGTCTTGAAAGTGTATTCTGGAAATAAAGGTAGGATCAGAAAATTTTTCTAGTACTCACCAGATTATGGAATTTGGGGTTGTTGTCTTTGTTCATATTCCTGGGCGTGACCCCCAATCCTATTTCTGTCTTCTGCTTCTTGAGTGAAAAAGCCCAGTTTCCAGGACTGGCGATCTTTCACTGCAAGCCTGAGGAGCAGGAAGGATCCAGAAATCCCAGAGGACAGAGCACTGGCTTGAGAATGAGGATTCCCCTGCTGGCTTTCTCCGCACCCCAGGCTCTACCTTCCTACTGAAACATACCTATGGGAGGACAAAGGGTGAATGGAAGGCCACACCGAAGAGCTGATCCTTTTTAAGTCTGGAGAAGCAGACTTGAGCAGCTGACTTGCCTCATGCCCTGTGGTATCTCCTGGTGTGGATGGGGTGGAGAGGGGGTTACTAGGTGCGGAGGTTACCTTGTCCTCCAGCCCTGTCTCAGGTAGAGAAGGATTGCGACTGTTCTGATCTTTACTCTCCTCCACCTTCCTAGGGAGCCAGGGCTTGAAATGAACTTTGAAACCTTAGGGAAAGGGGTCCCTTCACGGTGCCTAGGAGT